AGTAAAAGCATTTTTAGTTAAGGAACTTGGGAAATATTTGATTCTAAGGTTCTCATTATTTGCTATCTCGCTTGCCTCTATCAAATATCTAGCCACATGTTCGACAGTCGACTCTGTCGTATCCCCTGAAAATTTAGTGAATTTTGGGACTTTTCCCTCAGGTGGTAAGTCTGTTTGCAGAATATACTCCGACAATGGGGATGTAAAGTTTGGTCTATGAAAACCAATATTCATTCCGTTTTGAATCATGATTCTTTCGATCATAGCGGTTAAATTATTATCCGCCCCATAGTTCTGGTGTCGAACTTGTTGTATTAATTCGTCAGCGTTTTGGTTTCTATTAGCCAGAATAACGCCTTGATCGATTTCTCGATGGTTTCGAGGTATCTCTATTCTTAGTTCTGCTTCTACCCTTGGAACTTGGGGGTTTGGATTAATGGTCAGATCTTCTTCCATGACTACCCCTTGATTTAATCTTATTGGTACCCTCTGGGGTTGTCGAACAACTTGGGGTAGTTGAGCAACTTGGGGTACCCTAAAGAATTCAGCCATGTGTGTCATTTGCACTGTCATCTGTTGATTCGACTGTGTAGCAGTCTGAATGAGGGGATTTAGCAATGTACTTAGAGTTTGTGCAAACATTTGCACCATTTCATGATTACTTTCGTCCATTTGTTACCTCAAAATTATTGTCGAAGCATTTGTGAGACTTGGTATCATATGAGATGGTCCTCCCATAAATTGATTTCTACTGGCTCCAGATCCCTGTAATGGTGATGTTGCATTTACCAAAGGTTCTGAAAAGGTGGACGCAGCATTCATAAGGCTAGCCATTTCAGTAGTTGGCATGCCATATGGTTGTTCTCGACCCATCCAGGTTGTCGAAAAGCCTGGGGGTACTGTTGATCGAGATCCTAGGTTCATCCTTGGTAGGGGTGTTCCCAAAGGACCTCTTGGACCCACGTACGAAAGTAAGGGTCCAATTTGATTCATGTTTAACGATGGTATTGATCCAACAGAAGTTGGGATACTCCCTTCGACAGCAGTAGTAACCGTTGTTCCTGTAACTGGTGGAGGTATTTCTCCATGGTTTGGCTCGTTAGCCATACTACTCTCTCCGTTTTCCTTTCTAAAAGTATATTGGTTGGTTACTCTACCACTTCTTAATAACATGAAATGTTATAAGTGTACAAGAAAAACACAATAACATAGAAAATTAGCAAGGTCCCACCAGGTGTGCTAATTTGTTTACCGTTGTTTTTGGTAAACAACCGCTGATCTCCAAAAAAGGTAAGGTTTTTGGTTTACTTACGGGATCGACCAAACTAATCCCAGAACATATGCTAATCTTTATGTAAAATGCGTAAGAAGGAAGAACGCACGTTCGACCCAGAGAAAGGATGTTTGAGATTGTTGAAAAGTAAGCAAAAGCATAAAATACGAGTAAAAGAAGTAAAAGGATAACTTTGCAGGATAATGGTAAAATAATGTAAAGAGACTTTCATTAAGTAAAAAAGGTGTTTCTAACGTACATTGCTGAGCTTTTTATCCTTTCTCACGCAGTAGTTACTTGGATAATATTTGAGAGATTTAGTACAATAGGTTGAACATCCTTAAAAATTACACAAGCTTCTTAATTTATACTAAAAGTAGGTAACCATCGAGGGGACATTCTGCGCTAGGATGAAGACAAGTGTCTTCTCCATGTTCCTTGACCCACAGCTTTTTGCCACGTTGCCTCTTCTCAGACGCTGATGAAAATTGTCTTTCCCTCCAATAATTCAAATTTCAAATGGTCTTCGATTCCCATACCAAAGCGTGAACACTTTCCCTTAGTCGAGCAACATAATTCTAGTTCAGTTGAGTGAGGCCCTGGTCGAAGATTCTTATCATAACTTAGATCTTTTATCTCATGCGTCGAATCATACCTCCTGGTTTGATTCATTTCCAGTTATTTGGTCCAAAAGACCAAATATAGTAAGTGTCGAATTTGGGAGCCAACAAACGGGAAGCGGATTAGGTATTGTACTAGAAAACGAAGAAGGAATACTAATTGAAGTCTCCCTCGCGCTATCCTTCCCAACCTCTAACAACCAAGCAGAGTACAAGGCTCTCCTCGATGGGCTCCGCCTGACCGAGGACTTGGGCGCCGAGGAAGTAAAGATCTTCACAGACTCCCAGCTCGTCGCCTCCCAGGTACGAGGGGAATACCAGGTCAAAAACGAAAAACTTTCATAATACTGGACTCTAGTCCAAGAAAGGATGAAGAAATTCAACTTTGTGGACGTATAACATGTTCTCCGTGAACACAATTCCCGAGCAAAAATCCTGTCAAAATTGGTTAGCACAAAGAAGAAAGGAGGGAACAAATCCGTAATATAGGAAATACTCCCTCGACCAAGCATCAAAAAACCCTCCTCGACTCTAGAAGTTTATGCCATCAATGACAATAGTTGTTAGATGACCCTGATATACAACTACCTAACAAAAGGGGAGCTCCCATCCAACCAGAAGGAAGCCAACATGGTCTGACAAAGTGTCTGCTCCTACGTCCTGATCGAAGGTAAATTGTATAGAAGAGGATTATCTATACGCCTTCTCAAATGCATAGAAGAAAACAAGGTCACTCATATCCTGCATGAGATCCACAAAGGAATCAACGTCCAACATATGGGCGGAAGATCCCTCGATAGGAAAACAAGTCTTTACGTTTTATGACCACCTTATTTACCTCAAATCTATTGCTAAGGTAAAACGCATTTTGCGTATGACGTTACAAGCATTATTTGTAGTAGTGCAATTTGATTGCAAGAAGTTTTTCACATCAACAAACCTCAAAAAAAAATCTGAAAAATTAAGCGCACACCAAGTATTCGATAATTTATTTCTATTTGCTATACCAATTGTTTCATTGGAAATTGGCTTACTTGATTGTTGTAGCTAAACATTAATTGAGAATTTTTTGTATTAAAGTCTTACCATCATCATTTAATTGTGAATTGATTATACGTATATTCGAGCCTTCAATAATCGGTTCGGTTTGAATGGCTTGTGATCTAGGATATGATTTCCATTTGACATAACTTTTGCTTAATTTTTCAAAACACTTTTTGTGTGAAAATTTATCTTAGGGATCTATTCACCTCTCTCTAGATAAATTGTTATCGTCTAACACAAAGATCAACCATTAGCACACTAACGATCGTCAACTATTGACCACGCCCGTCACTGGACTCTAGGGCGATGACGGTCGTTATCCTTGTCTAAGGCGTGACGATTAGCCCATCACAATGGTGACGACCGGCACAATGACCAGAAATGTTTTATGCTGCAGAATACGCAGAACAACGCCAAACCCTAAAATTTGCATTTTTCCTACTTCTACCAGCATTCAGAAAATCACATACGACAGTTAAACAGATCATAGACACATAATTACAACAACACAAGTATCATTCATGTCATCTATCACACCAAAACACACTTAAAGCAATAACATTAAGACATGCATTTCATAAAGATGACAAACCATCAAAATCCAATTTTACCATCATGCATAAAAATCTCAAAAATCAGTGTTGGAAGCCCTCTAATCTAAGAACTCCACCTTAGATTAAACCCGAATTCGAGCTAGATGAAGGTTGTAGTTGATATCGATGGTTCTTCAAGACTTTTGGTGTATGCAAGGGATTTCCTCTTCTTTCCTCCACTATTCCCGTTTCTCTCTCTTCTCCAAACCCTCTCTTTCAAGATTCTGATCTTTCGTGACAAAAGAGAAGGGAAAACAAGGCTTCTGAAAAGTACCAAATTGTTCTCACTTCTCCTAAAATTCCAAATTTGTTTTTTTTTTCCAAAATCAACTAGTGTTGGAATTTAAGAGTTCGTAATGAACTAACTTAAAGAGTTTTCACCATGACCTCAAACTTCCATGAATTTTACAAAAATACCCCTTTATTTACACAAAAACCCAATACTAACTCATAAAATTAAGTATTAAGCTCTAAGGAAATAATTGGGTAGTTACATTTTATTTCAATCAAGTATTTATAGCACATCAAAATATGAAAATTTTATTTTAAAACTGATCATATCCTATTTTTCTATACTAAATAATTTATATTTTGAATTAGAATTAGGTTAGAAACATATAATTTATAATTTAAATTTGAATTAAGTTATTTTTATTTTTATAAAAAGTAAATTATATATGAAAAATAAAAATTTAAAAAATGTAAATAAAAATAAGTTTGACATTAAGTTAAAAAATTAATAATTAATCTGTAGAATATAAACTATATTAATTAAAAAATATAATTATTATTAAAATTTATAAAATATTAATACTAATTACTTCCATAAAAAAATTGTATACATTCTTTGCAATGATAATTTTATTATTTATTTTATTCTATATAATATAATTTTATATGACATATCTAATATTCCATTCATTTTAAAATGATTGTCATAGTTGACCCTTTTTACATAGATTAAAAAATTATAATAAATAAAATAGAATAATAAATTTATCAATCCTTATTAATTATAAATCTAATTAAATAAAACAATAAAAATATTTATTAAAGAGTACAATTGAAGATTTTTCTTTTAAAACTACGAATAATTGTTTAATAATGTCTCCGATTTTTTTTTAAAGTTATAAAAAAAACTTGTTTCATTACTTTTAGATATTATTTTTAGTATTTTTTTATTTGTTTATTTGTTACGGTAACTGTGTAACTGAAAAATCAATATTTACGTGATAGCAATTCTTTAAAATATTTTGAAAAAATAAATTTTTTTGATTCAAAATCAAATAAAATCAAATTCATAAATAAAACTTGTTGGGCAAGATTGGAACCTCCTCTATTTAGGCTATAAATACTACCCAGGCCTTTTGTTTTTATCTAATAACTAGTAAAGGTTCAGGGTTAGGGTTTTAACTTTTACGAAAAAAGCTAAGAAACCAAAGTTGAATCATGGCATCAACTTCAAGAAGCATGGCATCAACATCAAGAAAGAAGATCAATCTCAAGAGTTGTGACGGTGAGATTTTGGAAATCGACGAAGAAGTGGCATTGGAATCACAAACCATGAAGCAGATGATCGAGAATGATTGTACTGATGACACCGGAAACCCTCTTCCAATTCCAAATGTAACAAGCAAGATTTTGGAAAAGGTGATTGAGTACTGCAAGAAGCATGTCGATACTGCGAATTCTGATGAAAGGGTCAGGACTTGGGATGCAGAATTTGTCAAGGTTGATCAAGATACACTCTTTGATCTCATTTTGGCTGCAAACTACTTGAAGATCCAGGGTCTCTTAGATCTTACATGTAAGGCTATGTCGGACATGATAAAGGGTAAGAACCTGGAGGAGATTCGCAAGATTTTTCGTATTAAGAATAACTTCACTAAGGAGGAAGAGGACGAAATTCGTCGTGAAAATCAATGGGCTTTTGAATGATTACATAGTTTGACATAGAGTGATAAGTTTAGAGACTAAATTCATGTTTTATTCAGTATTATATTTTTACATCTTAGGATCTATGCTAAGAATCAGTTCGTGTGGATCAATGTTATGTTTAGTTTTATTCATCAAAGAGCTGCAGTATTTGGGTTTATATATCATTTATCATTCTATATAAAAAAATTCTCTTAAAAATTAAACAATTCTCTGTGTTTTTCTCAATTATCTCTTTTTAAAGTCCTCCTATTTTTTCCTTCCAAACTGTTTAAAGTCCCCTTTTCTCTTTTGGCAAATTTTAGTTTTAAAAAATAGGGAATTAAAGACTGTATTTTCTTTCAAAGCATATGGTTGTATACTATGTAACTGGATCCTTATATTCGTGGTCTAGTTCAGCAACATGACCTATTAAGAATCGGTATCAGCATTTTTATGAACTTTCTCGAATAAATTTAAATTATTTTTATGTGTCGATCTTTTAATTCATCAATTGATATCTTGAAGGTGCCTCTATTTTTCGTAGAGGCATTGGTTAAGTGCATAAAATCAGATTGTAATAAGAATTTTGTAAATAGAATTTCGGGACTTTCTACTTTACACTAGGTCTATCTTTTGACCGTCCTCATGATATTAAATCTAAGTGAGACTACTCTCCAATGATAAAAATTATAGAAAATATAATATTAAGCATGCCATATATGATATTAAACGCTAATACAGTCTATAATATAAAAAATCAATCAGACCCAATAGAAAATCTTAAATTGAATCGAAATCGTAAAAAATTATATTTGGTTCGGATGTGTTAGGGTCATTTTTAATGGAACTGTGCGGTTCGATTCGATTTAAGATTTATATTTTGTAAACTATATCAAACCAAACCGCATTATGTTATAAAATTTTACTAATTAATATTTTTTTTAATTCTTTAGTGAAAGCAATATGTATTATGTGAATTTTTTTTTGCAATAACCAGATTTTGAAAAAAAAATACACAAATAATCATATTTCAGAGAAAATTATGCAAATAACCATGTTTCATAAAACCTCACAAAGGAGGAGCCAACCCAGTTGGCGCATGCACCTAAAAATAAAGGGGAGGAGGCACCATCTCACTTGGCGCCTAGGTGTTAAAAGTTTGCCCTAAGCCATGTGAGATGGCGCCTAAGTGCAATAGAGGTGTAATTTTTTTCGTTTTTTTATTTTAAATGCGGGATATTAGGTAAACGATATAGCTTCACGAAAATTCGACTTTTTATTTACAAAAAACGATTACATAATAAAAAACATACAAAATAATTAGTTGTCCGTCGGAACTCGGTAATGACCCGCGGTTCCGCATTTGCATCCTCGCCTGTCTCGTGGTGGGTTTCGTCGCGTTTCCTGTTGTGGCAGGGTCGATGGCCCAACGAAGTCAATGCCTTCCGGATCCATGAAATTGGTCAGATCTCCATATCTAGAAGATCCGCTTTGGTACAGTCGATTATCCATACCCTCAAAGTTTGGTCGTCTTGGTGGTGGATGGGGTTCCATGGTTGGTCTATAGCACTGGTCGTCTGAGTAAGGGGGTAGAAAGGAAATAAATCTTGGGGTGTTTGGTATTGCGAATGTTGGGTGCTATGGTGATGTGGTGGTTGATGGTAACTTTGGTCGGTTGGGTTATATTCTTCGGAAAATCCCAGATCAGGGCTAAGGTTAGATGTTGACGGGCCCACATTGGGATATGGAGAAGACTGGAATTATGTGTGGGGCATGCGGGTGTATTGGTATTGTGATTGAGATTGTAGTTGGGTGTGGGGCATATGGGGGTATTGGTATTGAAGTGGTGATTGTGGTTGAGTGTGGGGCATATGAGTGTATTCGTATTGTGGTGGTGATTGTGGTTGGGTGGTTGTGGATCTGTATCGTCGGGGTGGTTGCTAGGAGGTTGATGTGTGTTGGGTTTGTTGTTGGGAAAATGGGGGTTGTGCCTATTGTGTTCATGGTTCAACCAAATACCTTAGATGAGACACGTACATTTCTGGGTTACTAACTGATATGTATCAAGCTAAATATTGATATGTGTGTCGCATATTACCCTGGTTGAGGAAAGCAGGGAATTGTAAGACATGTTGGTGACGCCTATGCCACATCTTACACCATTCTGGAGCAAAATATTTCTAATTAGTAAGACCTCATTGAGCGTCGACCCTTTTGAGATGCCACGGGGATAAACAAATTGGATCACTGGGTATCTCTTGATGCATTCCAAACTGCACCTTGACACGGTCGTTGTGGTGCTTCTCTATAATGTTGAATCGTATGATTGCAGTCTTTGCGGTCCAAATTGATGAATCCTCGGAGTTTGGTTCATGGTCCAAACCTAAATATGGTCTCCAGATAAATTGTGGATAAAAATAAATCAGCATAATGAAAATGTAATAAATAAATAATTTAAAAGTAGAAAAGTTCAAAGGTACGACGTACATCTTCCGGGCCAAGGTGATCCAATAGATTGTGATATAGAGCGACATTAAATCTTGGATTCTTTCCATAATCCATACTCGTTGTGTAGTACCTAAAGGAATTGTAAAATAGTTTATTTTTATCATATATTTGGCGAACGGATGAATAATAAATGATATAAGTTCTTGACTTACTTTGTTGCGTATGGAAAAACGAATGTGTTGTTGTTGACGGGGTTTAGGGACTCCATTCTCTACCAACCCCAGACTTGGAGTAAGAAAGCGCATCCATAAAATGTATATTTTTCCTTGGTTGCATTTTTGCACAAGGAACAGTATAGATGGGTTAAAACAGCAGAACCTCAACTACACTTTCTAGTTTTTTCAAAGTTCCTAAGTAAATTTAAATACATAAAGTTTACACTATTCCTCGTACTTTCGGGAAATAAAAAGGTTCCAAACAGTATCATTATATAATTTCTAGCTTTTATTACTCTTTCTAGCTCGGAGGAATTTCCGTTCAACTCCAGAGTCGCATAATGTTTTTTTAGTTCAGTAAGTAATATACCTTGGCCTCTAGCACCACCACCTTCAACCATATCTTTGTCCAACGATTCCTCGTATAGAGAATTAGGTTGTTAAATCGACCCGTTAACTGCCTTACCATCGATAGGGAGACCCAATAACATGTACACGTCCTCTAGCGTGACGGTACATTCACCTATTGGTAGATGAAATGTGTGTGTCTCGGGTCTCCACCTTTCCAACATTACAAGTATAAACATTGAATCAATCGTGTAGTTGGATATCTTTATAACATTTCCGAAACCCGCATATTCAAGATAGGGCACGATCAACAGGTCAGGAGCAATGTAGTTGTGTGAGCGAATTCTGAATCTTTTAGTATCCTAAGTTCAAAATGTAAAAAGTGTAAGAGTCCATAATATGTATAAATCATTAATAATATTATAAAAATATATATAAGTATACAAGAATATTTGAGAATTTATAAAAACTTACAAACGCCACAATGTTGTCCCTTGTGCCTCTGTGAGAATCGCCCATTATGAGAAGAGCCATAGTTGAAATTGTATAATATAATAAATAGGTTTGTATCAGAGAGTGAGATGATTGTTGATGCAAAAAAAGTATGTGAGGCTCTGTATTAATAGGAAAATTTTTATCACAGAGTGAATAAATGAGGTGGTTGGTGGGTGCATGCATGTATGATATGTGTCACTCATGAGGTGCTTGTAGTGTAGGTGCAAGCTAGGTGGCAGCCTTGGGGAAGAAATCTCTGCATGCATGTAACACGATTAGGCATGTAGGGAGGCGCCATTTGACTTGGAGAATGAGTAAAAAATTTAAAGGCGTCGCCATCCCAGTTGGCGAATTAGAGGTGGCATGGGTTGTAGCGTAGTTGTAGTCTAGGTGGTAGTCTTGGGGAAGACATCTCTGCATGCATGTAACATGATTAGACATGTAGGTGTAAGTACGAAGTGCGCCTAAGAAGGGGGGGGGGGGTGAATTAGGTACTTTAAAAAATTCTGGTTTTAGTGATGATGGATATTATTTTTTTGGTTAATGGTGAGTTTAGGAAAGAGTAAAGTGCAGAAAAATAAAGAGATACGGGCGATATATCCTGGTTCCCCTTACAGTCCGAGAGTACTCCAGTCCCCTTTCAACATGAAAGAGATTTTCTTATTGTGGCAAACTTAAACAAGAACTACCAAAAATCCAAGAACAATCCTCTTGGACCAAGAACAATCCTCTTGGATTTTCACTATTTCAACAATGAGAACAATCCTCTCAAAGTGACTACACTTGTATCCAACAATCCTGGAAAGACAAGATTTTAAAAACACTTAAACTTATTTCCAACAATCCTGGAAAAATAAGTAAGTAACTATCAATATTTGATTTTGAGTGAGTTGAGTAGTATTGATCACTTAGAGTGATTTAACAATGAATGATCTTCTCTTCCAATAATAATATTGTACAATGACTCAAGATATAATTGCTCAAAGTTTTCTGTTTAATAATGTATGAAAGTGTGCAGAAAACTTATGTATGAAAGTGAAGAAAAGCTTGAGTTTGTATTTTGAAAATTCAGAAAATATATTTTTGGAAGAAGTGTTGAAAATGATTTTGAAAATGAATATTTATATGTTCATAGCACCCTTTTGAAACATCATAAAGTTCTGAAAATGAATCATGAACAAATGTCAAGATTGAGTGAAAGGTTTCAATGAAAAGGTATTATGAACAGGCATGTGCAAAGCTGCTGTTTTCCAAAATCGTGCAACATGCAATCGATTGCACCCTTTGTGTAAATCTATTGCACGGGGTTTCAACAGCTATATTTTCAAAAGTTTTGAGTGTGCAATCGATTGCACAAACAATGTAAATCGATTGCATGTGAAGTCAGTAGCAAAAAATAAGTGAGTGCAATCGATTGCACAAGCAATGTAAATCGATTGCACTGGGAAACAGAAGCAAACGTTTTGAAAATTTTAAGTATGCAATCGATTGCACAAGTAATGTAAATCGATTGCA